ATTTATGGTGCGATGTGCGACTTATTGGTGGTAGCGCATACTGTTAGGCAGTTCTGATGGTAATTGGTATAAATTTGGTAATTGGTGCAAATTTGATGTACATTTGGTATGCTATTGTATTCAGTGCTATAAACGTAGATATCGAGATTGGCTCGAAAAAATGATTAAAAAATGATCACATCAAGCGAAAATTGTAGATAAGGTTAGCCTTTGCTGGAGGCTTTACCATTTTTCTTCGGGGTTTTCCTTGAACTTCTGGTATTCGGACCAATTGAACATGCTGATTTCGGTTTCGTTCTCGACACCTAATTCGTACAAAGACTTTTCTTCTCCTGCGATAAGATTAGAAGCGTCTTCGCAGAACAAAACCCAGTCGTCGTCGTGGTCCAAGTTTATGACCAATTGCATGGACTTGGAGCCGTGGGCCTTGGTGTAGATCTTAAGGGTGTCATATGTGACGTTACGGTATGGTCTCAAGCCGCCGGAAGTGTTTATAGTGTTGCGAACCAACTTGATTAGATCCGATGGGGTTGTTTCTTTCAAGTTCACCGACGATAAGACGTGGTTCTTGACATTTCTGTAGGGGAACGATTTCACTATACGGACAGTGAGAATAACATCTGTGGCAGGACGGACGTGTGACGTCAAGGGTTCATCGATATTCATTTTGGAGCTGATTTACCAAATATACCACCCATCTCTAGAGAATAGATTTTTTATCAGTTTGGACGTGTGTTTACCGATCAGCTAGTGGGACGATAGGTACAGTAGATACAAGCCCAAGGCAGTCTGGAGTAATGGTATAGTGAAGGGGGAATGTATGAGTATGCAGTTTTATTATTGAGGAGTCTATTCCCTTTGGACTTCGTCTTCTTGGATTATATGCCGTTCTTAGCTGAGATTATAGTGATATTGATATATGAATTGGGGGTCTTCAACTTCAAGCTGCTGCATGCTATTCTTCTGTGTCAGATGCTCAAATATAGTGATTAGTCAAGTACTTTTTACTCTATGAATTATGCGTTGAAAAATAGTGCAGATATTCTTTCTTTCATTTTTGCACCCAAAATACACCTACGTACAGAACAAATCAATCTCTTGCTACAAACAAAAAAAAATAATTTAACGTTTATGTGGAATATCTCTCTTCCGCATGGTTTCTTGAGTTTTTCTTCTCTATTATCGGGATGACTTCCTTACATTGACCCTCATAACAAAACTCATGAATATCGCAGTTATAATTATCTCTCTCCAATATTATTATTCTTGTTACAGATGCAATGTTTCAGAGAGGTACAGAATATTCCAATGTAAGTTATAACATCAAGTCATATGCGACCGTGTCGTTATACAGAATACTATTTAGTTTTGTAAAATTACTAAATTTGCAATATTATATCTCATCTACTTAATTGCAAAAAAACTACCCTTTGATTAATTTTTTTTTTGAAACCTTTTTGTTTTTGATTCCCCTTATAAAACAACTGCAGTTATACTTACCACAATACCTACATTTCTTCTCTTCATAATACCACAACAATTCAATCCGTGGATCAACTGATAACACAATAAGGTCGCGTGAATACCAAATCGACCAAGGCAGTTTCCAAAATTAGCCTCAAATCAATAAAGAAAATTTCTCAATGTTACAAATGTTTTGATTTCAAGAGAGAAATTATCAACTGATATCTTTACTAAAATTGGTCAACAAGCTCTTCAAGTGAAGGCTATATTACAACATCCGGTTTATTATTTCAAATTAAGACAAATCAGAATAAAATATGAGTAGTGGTGACGCTTTACCGACCTTAACCGATGGGGATTCATATACAACTCCGGCAGTTACTGTGCCCCCAAACAGCAATAACCCATACATTGTAAGACAACACAATCCTTCAGGAACAGTCTTTATAGCCGTTGGTGCTATTGTTGGTGCTATTTTCTTGAGTTTTATATTTTACCATTTGATCAGATCATTAACGGCATCAAGATTAGCAAAGAAAACTTTGGATGGAGATAAGGAAATGTACGAAAAGTATCAAAATAACAACAGTACAGCATATGGTGGACATGCCCTTACTACTTCATCTACATATAATACCGAATCTGTGGCCAAATTGCCATTATTATCTCATCATGCTAGCAGACAACACCTCGGCGGATTTAACGGCGCCAGTGGCTCTCAAATCGGTGATACATCGACTATATATGCTTCAGAAACAGCTGCTGCTACTTCGAAGCACGATTTGACTAAGATGTTCATTTCGCCCACTGCAGAAGTCATGTCGCACAATCGTACAAAATCAGGGCACTTTGGAGGCTCTACTAACTCATTATTTGGAGGTTCAACCAGCAATTTGGTAAACCCTTCACCTGCAACTAATAGACACTCACAATTGGTACCCAGTTTGTACATCAACAACGAGACTAACAACAGTGATTACTCGCTTAACAGTCATGCACAACTGCAACAAGCACATTCTCAACAATCGCAACAACAACAACAATTGAATACTCCCGGAAAGAATAACAGAAAGGCCATTCCAAGTATGTACCTTGAGGATTTAATTGACAATGAATAAGCAAGTTACTTAAGGTAAACAAGTCGCCTAATGCTATAGAGAGTGGCATCAGCTATGTTGTAGATACCCATTAATACTGCAACAAGCTTGTCACAACATAAAAATAAAAGTTATTACATTGAATTTAAGAGTAGCTTAATTATATACACGAATAAATGCCTTGAAGAATTAAACAAGACTTTCTCTTCTGTACTCGTCTAGAAGCTGCTGCGAATTATCAGTTTCGATTCTGTAAATCTACAAGCAATAACCATCACAAGAATTGGATGGTAAAACGTTCTGCTAAAATCTTACAATTTATCATAACTCTAATCGAGAAAGCATAAGCGAAAAAGGTCATCAAGTACCATCGTTTTCCAGAAGAATTTAGCATGTACTACACTGTAGGCCTTGTTAGCAAAATACTTGTGGTTGGTGCACGCAATACACTGAAATGTGTCTTGAGTGTGTTTATGTTGTTCAGCCTCAGAATGGGTTGATAAGTGATTAGATTTTTAATTTAGTATATTGTATAATTCATAATGCCTCTCTGTGGCGGTGGTCAAAATACGAGTATGTATTATATGTATCGAATGTGTATTTGGTTTCAGCATCTAATATTAGTTTTGAGAAATTGGATGAAGTTGAAAATTTAATGACAAGTGTAATTTGGTACTAACGCATCAGTTCAACGTAAAATAGTAATTCTAGGTGATGGTGCATGTGGTAAGACTTCATTGTTAAATGTTTTCACAAGAGGGTATTTTCCTCAAGTTTATGAACCAACTGTGTTTGAAAACTACGTGCATGATATTTTCATAGATGGCCAATCGGTGCAATTATCCTTGTGGGATACGGCTGGACAAGAAGAATTTGACAGATTAAGATCACTTTCGTACTCAGATACCCATTGCATCATGCTATGCTTCTCTATAGATTCTCCAGACTCGTTAGAAAATGTTCAATCGAAATGGGTTGGCGAAATTGCGGACCATTGCGAAGGTGTCAAATTGGTTTTGGTGGCTTTAAAATGTGATTTGAGAAATAACGAAGATACTGACGTCGATCAAACTGGTGGAAATATAGGAGGCGCAGAAGATGAATCGTTCAACCCATATTCTCAGTCTTCTTCAAACCCATACCAACAACAGAAACGGTTAATCAGCTACGAAGAAGGTTTGGCTGTCGCTAAGAAAGTTGGTGCTTTGAGATACTTAGAATGTTCTGCTAAAAAGAATAGAGGTGTTAATGAAGCTTTCTCTGAGGCTGCTAGATGTGCTCTTAATGCTAAACCAAAAGGTGCTAATGATAATGAACCAGAAAAGAAAAGTTGTGTTATAATGTAAAATGGGAAAGATGGAATAGTAAAAAGTTTTAGAATTTCTGTACTTATTAATCATTTCTTCCGGCATTCTTATTCCTCTTACTTTGACTATTTATTCAAATTAATTCATCTCTTTCATACATCATCTCTGCATTAGTTGTGATGTAATAATGTACTTATACATTTTATAGTCTAAATAAATATACAAAAGGTAGTGAAAATAACTCGAGGCGCTATGTACATGAAATGCTGGATATGACTTACTTATACTCCTTGAATGGTTGGTTTAGTGGTTTTTCTCTAGCATCCCATATGTCTTCTGAACTTCCTTTAGCCTTCTCTTCCAATAATCTTCTCTTAAAAAATGCTTGTACGTTTTGTCTTTTTTCTAATTCTTTGGGACTAGTATCATAGTCAATTTCTTCGGTTAAGTTACTTGAAAATGTCCCATTCTTCAAAGCAAACCAAACTTTCTCCCTCTGTTCTGCGCATGTTGAATACGAACCGTACCTGTAATAATTTTTAACCTGACCCCCTAAAGCAAAGCACAGTAACAACTCATCAAAAGCTGTGACGATTGAAATTTGACTTGGAAATGACTTGTTGTTTGAATTAATAGCCTTTGTTATTTGTTGGCGCTTCTGTTGAATTTCTTCAGGACTGTCCTGGAATAATGACCATATTTCCTTCAAATCATCATTTTCGTTATTATTAGAGCTCATTGTGACTTCGATTACCTCAATGGAAGATTACCTTACAATGTTATTTACCAAAAAAAAAAAACCTTAGAACAATATTCACCTTTTATTAAGTTAGAAGAGAATTCCGTATAATTCAATAATTCAAAAATAATGCTTACAAAAAAAATTAAGAAATGCCTTCAGCCAGATTCGAACTGACGATCTCCTCATTACTAGTGAGGTGCCTTACCAACTTGGCCATAAAGGCTTGAATTTGATTAAATAAATGTCGCTAAATCAATATATTCCACAAACTTGAAAACTTTCAATTATACACGACCAGTTTCTCGATCATTTTTCAAAATTTATTTGTTGAAGGTATGAATTTTTCAGAATATAAGTATAAGCTGATTGGTAAAAGCAGATAGGAAATGTTCAATATAGGCCTGTCATTCAAACTCAAGGCTTTTTCAGGGTCGAGCTTACTTACTAGTTTCCGTAATATTTCATACTTAGGGAAATTAGAACCATTCGAAGGAGCTGTATCGCAATATAAAAGACTTGGTAGAGGTCCAGCTTCAGGAAAGGGTAAAACTTCGGGAAGAGGTCAGAAAGGTCAAAAAGCTAGAGGTAAAGTTCCTAGGTGGTATGAAGGTGGTCAAACCCCGTTTTACAAGAGATTCCCAATTATTGGTTTCAAGAGACCACATAGAAAAATCTATCATGATATTAATTTGGAAAGAATTCAAGATTTCTGGAATACAGGCAGAATTCCTTTAAATGCGGGCGAAACTTTAACTATAAAAGTTATGAAAGACTGTGGCATAATTAGTGGTACTTTGAAAGATGGCGCTAAAATATTAGCTAGTGGAAAGGAAGACTATAATGTTCCCTTGAGCATTGAAGCATCCAAGGCATCTATCCCTGCTATAAGAGCTGTTGAGAATCTTGGCCAAAAATTTACTGCTGTCTACCATTCCAAGCTTGGCTTGAAGGCTCATGTAGATCCTGATTACTTTTATTTGAGAAAAGGTTATTTACCGCTTCAGGCTAGACCAACTCATAGAAGAGACATCGGATACTACTCGAACCCTGAGAAAAGGGGTTATTTACTTGAAAATAAATCTATTTTATTGGATCATGTGGGACAAGAGAGCTCTGCTAGAAGAAATGTTCGTAAAAGCGAATTAACTAAGCAATTAGAGACTGCTTCCAACAAGAAATCATCTGATTTTGCTCAATCATCTGAAATTAGTGTAGCTGATTTATAATATAGTTATTATTTCGTCTCTCATGTATATACTTCTAATAATAACAACATTAACTATTGAAAGGGTTTGGGAGTAGAGTTCGATGATGCTAGATCTTCAATATCAACAAATACTTGTAGAAGCTTTTCAACTATATCCTGAATGTCATTTAACTCCACATGGCCATTTTTGCTAGATTTCAGTAGCTCTTGATTGAACCCATAATTAAATTTTCGTAAGGAAAACATGGTTGACTTGTACGTCATCTTATACACTTCCCTTATGGCAATCTTTTCGTTGGTGGACAGACTGGAACTATTCAAGTTCAACCCTCTTATTCTTAGACCCGATAATATGACTTTATTAACTGCCTGAGTTATTTGATCATTAGTTGTCAACGCCGAAGATGACAATTGGGTTGCAGGTCGCTTCGACATCGAGGTTCCGGGCATAATAAATAGGTTTGATTTCATCTTTCGTCCCTTGCTAGATAACACTTTATCGAAAATACTTGTGTTTGAAGACTTCGGAATCACATTGGAACTATCCAAATTTATAAATGAACTTGCATCTATTTGGCTATTGTCGCTTTCTATCACTTGGTGTATTTTTTCTAGTATACTAAAATCGATGACAAGACATTTTATCTGTAGATCACCTGCATCACTATCCACAAATAGCGCTAGATATAGGTTTTCGTCAATTTCATTCTTTATCATTAGTCCTATCTGCCCGTGTTTTACAGAAAGTTGCACTAGTTCCCTTTTAAAAAATTCTGTTGTCTTTTCATCGTTTGAATATATTCTTAGAGGTTTGCTGATAAGTAAGTAAATGGGTATCAAATCATAATTGATGTAACTAATGACATTGAAACTTTCATTATGCCTTAACGCGTTGGCACTTAATTTGCTATCATTTTCTGTATTGCTCCATATCTGAATATCATCTATTTTGTTATTATCCGTAACTATCGATATAGTGTTCCATATATGCATATTATAGGAGGTTTATACCATCATATATGTATGTATACTGTAGGAAGAGTCAATCCAATATTGATTACACAAATGCTCGCAGTTTTTGGCGATGAGCATTATCTTCAATTTCCACTGTTGATGATCAGTCAACAACAATTTAGTACTCTAGTAAATACTCCTGGAATACATAATAAAATTAGGTGATTTTTGTACCCAAACATCCATGAGTGTAAATACAAGAGTCTACTCAGTAGCGAGAGTTTATGCTGATGCCAATAGTACTAGACCGGCTGAATATTGGGATTATGAAACTCATAAAATAGAATGGGGTCAAATTAAGAACTACGAAATTATCAGTAAAATAGGTAGAGGTAAATACTCAGAAGTCTTTCAAGGAATCAATATTTACAATGACGAACCATGCGTTATAAAAGTATTAAAGCCGGTAAAGATGAAGAAGATATATCGTGAAGTTAAAATTTTAAAAAATTTGACGGGGGGCCCTAATGTTATAGGATTGCTTGATATTGTCAGAGATGAACTGTCAAAGATACCGGCATTAATTTTTGAAAAAGTGAATAACGTTGATTTCCGTGTCTTGTACCCTAAATTTACGATATCTGACATCCAGTATTATTTCACACAACTCTTGATAGCTTTGGACTATTCACATTCGATGGGTATAATCCATCGTGATGTAAAACCACAAAACATCATGATTGATCCCTTAACCAAGAAATTAAGATTAATCGACTGGGGTTTAGCGGAATTCTACCATTCGGGTATGGACTACAACGTAAGAGTTGCGTCAAGATACCACAAAGGACCAGAACTATTGGTCAACTTACAGCAATACGATTATTCTTTAGACTTGTGGTCTGTTGGCTGTATGCTCGCTGCAATAATCTTTAAGAAGGAGCCATTTTTCAGAGGCGATTCTAATAACGACCAACTAGTGCAAATAGCAAAAGTCTTGGGTACAAAGGATCTATTGAACTACGTTAATAAATACGGCATAAAATTGAGTGACGAATATGACAACATTCTAGGTAACTATCCTAGAAAGCCATGGACCCAATTCATCAATTCTGAAAACCAACATTTAATATCCGAAGAAGTAGTTGATTTTATTGATAAATTGTTAACCTACGATCACCAATTAAGGCCTACTGCTAAGGAGGCTATGGACCATCCTTTTTTCAAGTTGAAGACTTAATTAAGCTTCTAGTTGCTACATTATTGTTATCTTGTATACTTGACTTATCTAAAGCTAATTCCTGAGAATAATTTTGGAATATTGCGTAATCTACTTGGCAACACTATTTAGAAGATGGTTTTAAATCTTCTAGATTATCTTTTTCATTTGTAGTCATACCAATTATTTAATAATATGTAACATTAATGCACCTTATATTTAATTGTTGCTAGTTGTACGCCCCGTACCACCTAAATAAAGGATACTGAAACGCGCTTTTGAAACATTTAATTAGCTATCGGCAAATTGGCGCATCAAATCTCCGTACTTGAGACATCGTATAAATTTACCGTTTTAGGGACGTATCAAGCCCTTATATAAAAGGATAAGGTAATATTTTAAAATCGGGTATTTTATTGGAATTAAATCTAAAACCAATTTTTAGATCAGATTTTGTTGAATAGTATGAGATGCTGCAAACAACTAATCTTCAAGGATCTCACGACTGGATTGCTTTACAGCATAAAACCATGACGAGATGGATAAATTCCAAGATAGAAGAAGAAATTACAGACTTACGTCAAGATTTGCTGGATGGTTTAGTATTAGTCAAACTAATCAATAAAATAGTTGAGGAGATAGCGGATAAGAATCCCCACGCTAAGTTATACTGTTTGCACCCAGTATACAAGAAGCCAACCTTTAAGCTCCAGAAATACGAAAACGTTAATGACTTTCTTCAGTTCGTTCAAGTTGTGCTAAAAATCAATATCTGCAATATTAGTGCTGATAATATAATCGAGGGAAATCTCAAACTTATCTTGGGACTTATATGGTCGATTTTTGTTTTCACTACTACTAATTCCATGCCAAGTTCAAGTGATGGAACTTCATTTGTCAAGGTGAAGCAGATTCTTTTGGAGTGGGTGAATTTAATTGTTCGTAAGAAGGGTCTAAACCAGGTAACCAATTTTGATAGAGACTGGTCGTTGGAGATAAATAGACCAGATTTGATATTTCTTGGTATTTTGGACTACTACTTACCAATAGAAATACCTATAGAGCCTTATTCTAAAAGGCTACAGAACATGAACAAGGTTTTTGAAGTAGCGAAAACCTTGGGCATACCGCAGTTGGCAGATTCAGAAGATTTTTCTTTGTTTGTTCCTGAAGAAAAGTGTATCGTGACATACGTTTTGGAATGGTTTAAAGTATTTCAATTGGACTCTAAGTTTGACTTTTCAACACACATCAACACGGAAAATGATAAAATATCTGAATTAGAGAAAGATATTCTTGAAAATACTTTGTCCGAAAAACCACAGGAACCATGTGTCCATGTTCCCAATATGGATGCCTTGGATACAGATAAGAATAAAGTTTTCTTTGATAGATTTATTGAAACGATAGTTGACTGTGTTAGACAGAAAAAAAAATATGAAAATAAATCCTTATTTTTATGTAATCGGACTAACATGATGATTTCAAAGATTATTAGAAACTCATATTACTTTAACGATTTTTCTATCGACTATCTTATCGATTCTTTAGATGAATTTTTTACAATGTTTTCTAACGCTTATAACTGCATGGATGGAAGTTTCAGATATAATTTAGAAAAGGCACTTGATAGATTTGCAACAATAAAAATAAAATTCAAAATATTGATTGAAATTTTGGAAGAATTTGAAAGCTATAGGTCTTTAACAAAATCCACGTTGATGTATACCAGCTTGCCTGAATTAAAGAATATATACATGGGTATACAGAATAGCTTAAACGCGGTAGGTATAACTACAAGGTATCAACCACTGCCAAATTTGTCACTATTGTCTTGTGTTAATAAGGTTTCTGAATTGACTGGATCAAACGAAGAATATTTTGTGAACTCAGCCAACGAAGGTATTAACAAATTACGTAACTCACCTCTAAAACGGATTAATGATTATTTAAAAATTGTTGAAAAGAATCTCAATGACGATGGACAAAGCGACATGCATAGGGCTCAAAGACCGATGATCGTTCTCAGCTTGGATTCGATTGACTATTTAATCAATATATCGCATAAATTGGATTATTTCGCTAGAAATTTGGAAATAAACCAATCAACTTCTGGTTTGAAATCATTATTAGAATCATCCATCGAAATTCACCCGACTCTAAAGGAAACAAATTATAATTTATATAAGGGGTTCAAATCCTTGATTACAAGTAATAGAACCCTTTTATCAGAAGCGGAACTAACAAATCTTTTGCATTCCTCAGTAAGCCGTGAATTCATGCATCATAAATCTACTCATGTCGAAGCATTTATGAAACTTATCCCAAATATTGATTTGGGTACCGATAGAAGTGACGTTAGCTTTGCTATACTGTACACTTCAGATGAAAGCGATGATAACAACTCCTTGTTTGATGGATTACAGAAAAATAAACACGCCGATGATAGAGCTTATGATATAGGTAGCTTTATAGAAAAAGTCGACAATGGGTTTCGCATTTAATATCTATTTTATCTAATGAATATATGAGAGTATGAATTAAGTAAAAACATATAATTATGAAAATATGATACCCTTGTAAAAATGTTGGTCTGTCTTGAAATACGTTTTGCAAATAAATCCTTCAGTAACATTTAACACTGTCGTAAATATTACACCATCCAGAATTCATTCTGTAACTTTTGTTGTTCTTTCATAACCCAGTTCCAAAAATTCACACTATCACAATCTGTGGTAAGTCTTGGTTTCCATTGTGTGGGGAATTCTGAATTATATACAACCTCATCAAAATCTTTGTCATTGCAATATATCCTCAAGGAATTATAAAAATCAATTTTATTTATGCCTTCCCATGGCTTGGGTATAGGAGAATCGGAAAAATGAATCAATTTTACGTTTCGTATAATTTCAGAAGGCAGCCACTGATCATTTAATTCACTTGTAACAAACGGTAGAAATTGGGGTTCAGACAAAAACGCTTCATGCAGAAGTTCTCTAAATTCCCCTGTTAATACGCCGTAGACTTTATGAGGTAATATTCCAACTTTAAAATCTTCATTTTCTTGCAAGGAATCGTCAATAAATTTGTTCAAAATCTCCATATCATAATCAGTGTTGCTCCTTAATGATTGTCTCTTGTAAAATGACCAAAGCCAAGGATTGTGTACGTAGCCTTTTAACTCCTTGAATGTTTTGCTGGAAGGTTTAAGCACCATAATATGAGTTGCAAAAAAATTATGTCTATGATTCAACTTATGATTCTTGAGTACTAATGGTGGGAGCTTTTCAAAAATCAAGCTATCATTGAAAGATTTCGAAACATCATTGACTAATGATTTTATCTTTTCTTGATACTCTTGTTCTTGTGTGTCTGAAGAATTGATTTTTCTGGAAGCTTTGGTATGCTTTGTTAGCCAATAGGCTTGTGGTAAAGCTATATCTATTACATCGGGTATATTAAATAGTTCATCTAGATTTTCAGGAAGATTAGATTCTATGTTATCGTTCCATTGCGTATTTAGAAGCATCGAATCTGCATCGAAATATACAATGCGGTCATAACTCACTTCATTGAATATATGGAGTTTTGTGAACGACTTAGACCATGTCAGACTTTCGGCATTGTGACTTTCAATAATGGAGACAGGCTTTAATGAAATATGATATTGCAAAGTAAGGTTTTTGAGGAGCTCAAACCGATTTTTGTCCTCTTGTAACTCTTTATTAAATAGTACCACCAAACTTGGAATTTTAGTAAGTGCCTTCCTTAAGACAATGAAATTAATTATTGCCAAGTTTAAGTATTCAAAATCAGTTGCATATTGAACATAAGCATAGTTTACAACGCTCGATGATCTATGCAAGTCATCATCCAATAAACTGATAATCTCCAGCGGTATTACCTTTAGGTTCGTGGCAATGCTCTCATCCGGAATGAATATAAGTTGTGTGATGATAAAATAAAGCAAAATGCTAAACAGGAGTATGTACTCCCAGTAATGGCTTACATGAGCGCTGTCGGGATTTAGTTTCATACTTCGCTGACATCACTCTCTAAAAGATCCTGATTATTGTTATTTTAAATTTTGCATTATATAATTGACGTATATACTTTCTATCAAGTAT